CTGGGCTCTCCCTTAGAGATAGGGTGAGAAGCTCGGCCATCCGGGAGGGGCTCAGAGTAGAGCCGCTGCTCCTCCACGTGGAGAGGAGCCAGCTGAGGTGGCTCGGGCATCTGTTCAGGATGCCTCCTGGTCGCCTCCCTGGGGAGGTGTTCCGGGCTCGTCCCACCGGGAGAAGGCCCAGAGGAAGACCCAGGACCCGCTGGAGGGACTATGTGTCCCGGCTGGCCTGGGAACGCCTCGGGATCCCCCCGGAGGAGCTGGCTGAAGTGGCCGGGGAGAGGGAAGTCTGGGTTTCCCTGCTCCGGCTGCTGCCCCCGCGACCCGACCCCGGATAAGCGGAGGACAATGGATGGATGGATGGATGGATGGATGGATGGATCATTGAGCTTTTTCAACATCAAAGACTGCATGCATTTTGTTCCATCAGGTTTCAAATACTGGGAAAACTCTTCAGACGCTTGGCTCTGCCTTCCTCAACGTAATGTGGCCTTACGGGCTGACCAATGAGAAATGGCTCCTGTATCCTGCCAGCTTGAAGTTTGAAGGCCACCCAGATACACACTGCTCTCCAACAGGAGCCTTGAATCCTCTGAAGCTACAGAGCTCGTCGATAGAGCTTCCACTTCCCACTAATGAGGCGGTGAGCAGAGCACTTGATTTCTAACTTCTGTGGAAAATGTTGTTGACCAAGCAAACATTTAGAAAATTGTAGCTCCTGTGTTTTATTTCCTTTGCTATTTCAGGATAGAACACAAAAGGGTGCTCTTTGGTGTTAGGTTGCTTATAAAATTCCTGAAAAACATTGAGTGGATGATCATAGACACATATTTAAAAATGTATATTGAAATAATCTGACCTTAAACTTAATGATTTGCACCACCTAACATGAACACAAAACAGCTTTTATCTTGAACGTGCATAATTACTTCTATTTTTACAGGCCGGAAGGAAACGGCGCTCTCATGCTGAGGAGGAGGATCAAGTGATAGCAAAAGGCAGTGTGGTGCGAACCACGCCAGCTGTGGCAGCTTCAGAAAGACGCAGATCGCTTAAACTGGTACGGAGTTGCAGATAACCACAACTATCCATCTTTATGGCAAATGCTCAAAAGAAGAGATGCAGGCTGTGTTAGTTTTTCTTGTCAGTGCTCTCCCAACAATAAGATAAAGATACAATCCAATGTGTCCTCTTATCATTTTTTTCTCCAGGACTGCCTTCTTGGGTCGGCACGTTGTGTGCTGTTTCAGTGTCCTCTCCACAGTTTCTCTGGACAGGCTGTCCTTAAGATCCATGCCAGGCTGTGGAACAGCAGTTTCATAGAGGTACAAACAATCCTGTTCTCATGAAATCAGCACGTCTATGATCATTGCACTCCACGTCAACTTCAATTTGACTCTGACCCACAGAGTTGGCACTATGTACCTATGTGTTACTAATAGACACTTAGCCACCGATTGATGTTTGTCAAAAGTCCCTCAAAGAGCATGAGTTTGATATGACGTACTGGTTTAACCAATGTCACATTGGCCAATACACACAGAATGAAATCTTAATTGAATTAGCATATTATGCAACAAAACTTTTTTTTTTTTTTCCCCATTAACGACACAGAAATACATCATAGTCTACCAATTGTATTGACTAGTAGAATGAGAATTCATTTATGAACACTTTCAGTCCTCCAAGACTGATGTGAGGCAGATATACCAGTGCATCCCTCTTTGTTACTGTAAAATGTGTGGCTCTGTTTTTGTTTTTCAGGAGTTCTCTTCGGTCAGTGCGCTGGAGCTGCTTGTCAGAGCCAACATCACTGTCAAGTCCAGCATCAAGCACCTGGTCCTCAGAGAAGCAGCTGCACAGGTACTCGGCCCCCTTTTGTTTTTTATTCTACAATTCGAACACCATTTTTCAAGTAAAAATCTGATGTTTTGATCAAGGTGATGGGGGCCTTCTGTGGGGTCTGCATGTTCTTCCCAGGAACTCCAAAAGCACTGACACAAGGATGTGAAATATTTCCATATGAATCATTTTTGCATACTTAACCCTCCCTTCATCTACAGATTCCAGTGATGATCTATCCTGAGCCCGGTCTTGCTGACCAGTACTGGATCCCTTGGTGGATCATCCTCATAGCCGTTCTGGCCGGCATTCTGCTGTTAACTCTCCTTGTCTGTATACTTTGGAAGGTAACACATCAAATTTTTATTTTACAACATTTGGACTTTGTATACATCTTTAAATCAAAATCTTCTCTTGGTTTTCAGTGTTTCAGGCAAATCACAGTTCTTTATTTCTAACAGGACCCAACATTTTAATGTTATAATGGTAAAATCATGGAAAACAGAGCACAAATGCATATTAATACTGAAAATGAGATATGGATTACAAGTCTATATGAATAGTTAGAGTATATCATTGTTCTTCCTAATTACTATACAAATATGTATATATTGATATATTTGACATAGACTGTCGACAGGTACTTTTCTAATAAGCATTATTCGGTCTTTCTGCATTATTTTGTCAGGCAAGAAATTTAGGATTTAGGAGGACTCCGTAAAAGTTTCACTCATATTATTGCAATCACTACACTCAGCATTGCGTTACCATTTTCTTCCCAATCAACATAATAGTTTAGTCATTTCCCATCTATGCTCTGAACTGTCCTGTCACAGTGCCATTCCTTATAGCTCACTCTCATCCTTTTTCCTCCCTTCTGTACATGTCTTGTCTTCTGTCTGTCATTTCTCTCTGTTTTGTCTCCTTTTAATTCCATCTGGAATTGTTTGTCTCCAAATCCTCGTTCTGTTGCATCTCTTCCTCTTCCCCCACCTCCCTGGGGTTATCTGTTGTCCCAGTGTGGGTTTTTCAAGCGCAGTGAGCGTCGCCCACACTATGAGACGGAGTACTACCGTGCACATTTGGGGGTCCAGCCCTCGGAGGTGGAGAAGCAGGCATCAGAACTATAATATCAAAACTGTTTCCATCTGGCCTGCTCTCCCCTCCTCCTCTCCCTCCAAGCGGTAACAATCCTTTTGCACAATGATTTTGCTCCTTGACCCACTCTGAGGCCGGTGGTGTTCATTGCATGAAAAATCAGCAAGTCTTTGGCGCAAATATCACAATAGAATTGAAATATTTTGGTGGAGCCCTTTTGCTCCTTTCAATTTTGTTGCTGTGCTTGGAATCTTTTCAATAACTAAACGTTACTGATGACGTTAAATAACAAAGCAAACAAACCTTTATCTTTAAATCCAAAGTCATTTTTGGTGCATAACATACTTAAACAGAGTGAGAAGTTATATTGTATAAAATGAAAAGGTATCGGTATCTTCCAAAGTAGCAGGTACTGATTCAGGTTGCCACAGAAATAAAACAGTGTGTGAAAGGAAGGAATAAAAGGATGCTCAGTTTAAAGAATGACCGCGTTGTCCGTTTTTTAATTTAATATTGTACTAAGCCCAGCCCTTGGTTAATGGTGGTCTAAAGTTGTAGTTCCTCTTTTGTTTAGAAAATGTGGGGTTGGTAAGGCTTTTTTCATGTATATCAAAGATCTTTTTGTTACCTCAACAAAGTACATTTCCTACCTAATAAAAGTTATAAAAAATGGAAAAGGAGGCGTCTGAAAAACAGTGACTGTTACTGCTGCACAGACAAACAGCTGTAACAAAGTTCTGAAGAAAAATGCTTTTTTGCTTTTTTCAGCTTATCTTATAAGATAACTTTTGTTTAATGAATGGGCCATTTTATGGTAAAATGGTCATTCAAATATTTTACTGGCACCTTAGACACTCAGCTTATGTTCCTTTAAATAAACTGAGTAGCAGGTAAACACATTTTCTCTCCTTTAAACATAAAGTCCGGGGCTTTCCTACTTTGCTATTGGATTGTTGAACATTAAAAGGCTGTTGGTCTCAGAGTAAGCTGCCGATAGCTTTCCTGTTCGCTTTGTGCCTGTTGAACACCATCCAGCCATGGTCCCATCGGGACTTTAACATGCCTGCTGTGCTGTGTGTGATGCCTCTCCCTCTATAATCATCTGCACCTGTTCATTTTGGCATCAGTCTATATTAATCAACACTTTTTAATCATGTCTTAATTGTACCTTATGACCAAGCTGCCAGAATGAACTTTAATGAGAACCATTGTGTGTTTGTTTTATTTTATTGAGCGTTTATTTTCTAATAGCAATTGAATGTGTTGGTGAGTTTATCACAGGCATTATATGCTTAAAGACACAGCATGGCGATGTTCTTTTTTAAGCTTCTGCAAAATTACAAGGTAGAGTCAGTAACCTAAATAGAAGAACAATTGTCTCGAATAAAGCAAATGATCTATCCACTTAGATGTTGTTTTTGCTTCCTCTTTTTCTCTTCCATGTCTCTCCTTTTCCTACTCTGTCTAAATTTCTTTGCTTTTCTTTCTTTGTCACCAGTGTGGTTTCTTCCAACGTGCCCACTACAAAGACAAGCTGCCTCAGTACCATGCGGTAAAGATTCCCCGTGAGGATCGGCCACAGTTTCAGACTGAAAAGTCAGGAATTGTCCATAAAAAGGAATGGTCCACACACTGGAGCGATGGGACCTTGTAACTCGCCTTGAAGCACTGCCTAACTTCAACGTATCATGTGTGGCACTCATTCTGTGTTTGCATTGGAAAAACGTGACTTAAAAAAAGTGCACAAAGACTGGGATCATTGAATCTTGTGCACACATTACTGTGTCAGTAGATTCAAATTAGCGGTGTCTTACTGGATCTGTGTAACTCTGACTACTGTCTGCTGACAGCTGACCTCAGGTGGTCTGTTTATACTGTGCATCTACTGTGTTTGATAGTTTTCCACTAAATTCTGGGGCATAGAACCTCTCCAACTTCTCAATATGTTAGACATCTTATGCAGGGAGCGTTGACGCTTCGCTGTCTGAAAATCAAGGACACGCATGTCTGCCCAAACATAAAGTACGACATAAAGTCTGCATACAGACATTCTGCTTGGTATAAACATCGTTTGACAAAGACTTCTTTTTGCCTTAAGAACTGTGAGATTTATGGCTTGTACAGGCAAAGAATATATGTTTTTTTTATTTTTCAAATTATGTTTGGAAGTGTACTTTAGTTGCCACTGGCAGTACATAAAACTACACAATTTTCTTTGAGGTGACGGTTTAGTTGTCAATAATCAAATCAAACCTTTTTAGTTTGTATGACTTACATTTATCTGGTCAAAAGGTCAGTTAAATCTGCTGTAGATCTTAACTGAAAAATTATCATGCAGCTGTAACTTGACATGACCTTAGAACTGTTGCTGCATGAGACCAAACATCTGGTCAGCTTGTCTTCTGGTTAGAAGTTTCAAAAGACCAAATACTGGTCGCTGTAATTCTTATATAAATAATTTTAAAAAAGAGGTAAAGTATGAGA